CTGACAGAGATGTTTTAGTCAGCTGTATCATGTTGCATTGACTGTCTGCTTTAAATGTTTTTGCCTTTGGCATTGATCTTTATGTGTAAGGCCAAAAAGACACCACCACCATGGTTTTCGGCACAAATCCGAAAGTGTTAAAGTAAACAATTGCACTGATGTGGAGAAATGCCACATTTAAATTTAACATGGGCTCATTTGGACAGCCGGCAGCCGGTCCCTCTGAGCTTTAAAAATGTGATTTTATCATACTAACATGTTCCTTAGAAAGTTTCGAATGAACATAAATGCCACTTAAGGACAAAATATAAATTATATATATATATATATATATATATATATATATATATATATATATATATATATATATATATATATATATACACACACACATATACACAGTCTGTTTTGTTTTTTCTCAACAAATATTTACTATTTATGATTAATCAGAGTCAATTCACAGTGATCTCTTCTGAACATCTCAAGACAACTAATTCAGTGTCAATCCTGCTGCCATATTGCCTTTTGCCCTCTTCTTACAGAAGCTTTCAAATCTGATAACGAAATAAATCAAAATGTGGCAGTGTGCCATTTTAATGGGGAAATAGCAATGATGTGATTGATTGTCATTTTTATTGTCATTTTAGCCAGCTGTACGTCAGACATGACTCTTTCCTTATGATCGAGCAGCTGTAGTGACTAACATTGTTCCCATCAGAATTGAAATGAAGTCTCTCAGTGCCGTCAACTGTCTGGTTAGTACCAACATTCTTGAAAATTTATATTTTTGAGTTCAACAGAATAAAGAAACTCATACAGGTTTGGAACAACATGAGGGCGAGTAAATCTCCCTTTCACTTTATGTGGCCGTTTCCAAGGGCGTAGGTTTAGGGGGGGACGCTAGGTACTAGTCCCAATCAATATTTTGAGGTGACAAATTTGTCCCCACCAATATTTAGCAAGCTCCTTTGAACTGCTATTTTGATATTTGCGCTGCATTTGGATCTTTGCGCTGCTATTTGGATCGATTCCAACGGCCAGGACGACTACAGAACAAGATACGCCGTAATTTGATTGGCGGCGGGGTATCTGATAGGCAGGCTACACGCGCGGGCCGGGACTACTTTTTGTGCTTGCACTCACTGGCAGCGAGCGGGTGGTGTATGCGTGTGCGTGTGTGTGTGTGTGTGTGTGTGTGCGCGCGTGACGACGCCGACGGTAAGTTACCAGGGCTGTCTCTCTGCCTGCCATATACAAAGGCCAGAGTAAAACATTTTAATATTCCGTTTTTTTTGCCCTTTTTGTACTTTGTAGATCAGCTATGTCACCCAAGAAGAAGAAAGGGGACATACGAAGCTTTTTTATTAAGCAGAGTGTAAGTAGGCAAAAATAACTAGCCACACAAATAACTAGCAGTAGTAGTGACTGACCAGGCTTTCAAATGCAGATTCTACTGGAAAATAGTATTAACTGGTGATCCTGGTTACCCAGGATATTGTTACAGTTAAACCTAGCTTCTGCAATCTTTCACGGTTAGGAGCATTAATTAGGGGTGTGCAGCACGGATAGACTCATAGAAGTCGCACTATCATGATAGACGTTAGCAAGTCACTGAATGTTAATTAGCCTACCTTAACTTAGAATCTTGCAGTCATAAACAGTGGATCATCTGAGACATTTTTCGTTTCTACATTCTGTTTATGTAATGTATTTGTAGTGTAGCCTACTTGCTAGACACATGTGCTGGAAAAACATGTTGGCAATGTTAAAAAGGCAAAAGTTAACACTGTTGGTTATTCAAATATAATGAATCATTATTTGATTGATAATATCCAAATAACAATATCTGGTAGGAGGGTTAAACTTGCTAGCCATAGGATAGACAACAGAATTAATTAACCATTTTGTATGCAGGAAAGACAGCATCAAACCACAACAGATTTACATTTATTCATTTAGCAGACACTTTTTATCCAAAGCGACTTACAATTGAGAACAATAGAAGCAGTAAACCTAGGACAATATGCAAGCTTTATGACCCTTCCCAGTTTAATCTAATGCACTTTTTTTTTTTTAGAATAGAATAGAATATATCAATAGAATTTGATATAGAATAGAAGGGTCAGGATACAATATAATGAGATGAAGTAGATTCACTTCTGTATTGTGATATTCTGTATTGCCAGCAGTCTGAAATGACGAAGGAAATCGCCATTAAAGCACTGTTACTTATCTTACAACAAAATAATTCCCGCCGGCGGGGGGGGGGGGGTGTCCCCACCAAAGCTGAGACCAAACCTACGCCCATGGCCGTTTCAAATTCTCACCTTTGATGGCAAAAGCTTTCAGCCACAATAGCAGGGAAAGGCAGGTGGAACATTGACTTCTATTCAAAGAAATGTCGAAAATTGAACATATATGCTCAATTTTGTGCTTGTGGCTAGTTGTGTTAGCATATTCGTTACAAAACATGAACACATAGGGATAGTATCTTCTGCCTAATAATGTAAACAAATCAAATAAAGCGCAGAAGCTTGCCTAGCGCAGACCGTTGGATTGAGTAGTGTAGTTCATAATCTCACCTGAAGGTGGCGTTCCTCATTCACAGGTATGCAGCGGCGCTCTCACTGACAAATGTCTCAAAAAAAAGCAACGCTGCAGGCAGGGTTACCAATTACGTGTTTCTACTTTTTAACTTTTAACCCCACGTATTGCATCCATTAAATTTGACTGAAATACTTGTATTTAGACAATTTTACCGAAATTATATTCTTCCAATGACATAACTGTACTAAGATGACTAATGAGGAGCTTGTGTGCACAAAAGTATGACAGACCAAGGAGAAGAGCAAATAATCAGAATCAAGAATCAGAACAAAATTTCAAATACTAAGACGTTTTTTTTTTTAAAGAGTTAAAAAATAAAGGATTACCACCCCCACTGAAGGATTTGTTCACCAGCTGTCAATCTTAAGGTACGATAATTTTATTGGTAACACTTTACAATAATAAAAAAAATTGTGTCATTACTTACTCACCATCATGTTGTTCCAAACCTGTATGAGTTTCTTCTGTTGAACACAAAGATTTTTGAGAATATTGATAAACAGACAGTTGATAGCCATTGACTTCCATTGTAGAAAAAAAAAATAGTATTGAAAGTCAATGGGTGCCATCAACGGTCTGGTTACCAACATTCAACTGAATATCTTTTGTGTTCAACAGAAGAAAGACCTTCATGTTGTTCCAAACCTGTATGAGTTGGAGTAAATGATGACAAAATTTTCATTTTGGGATGAACAATCCCTCTTAGTAATGTTAACAGAAACAACTCTAGATTCTAATAATGCATTATTAAATGTTACAATTAACAATCTGTATTTTAGAAATGGGAGTGGTATATTTAAGATAATTTTGACCGGCCAGAATTGGTCTTTGTTACACAGATCTGGCAAACCTGATTGCAGGGGACATTTTAAAGGCATTCTACTAATGGCTGTTTCTTCATATAATGTGCGACTGAAAAAGAACATCAGGCAAACATCATTTGTCAAAATCATTTATTTACTATAATACATAGCAGATGATGTTAAAATATTTAGTTTGTACATCATATGAGGCAATCATATGAACAATGTTGCTCTTTTTTTTTTTTAACTACACTAAATGGGATCCTAGCAGCTGCACACTTACCCTATTGAGCCCTTTCCTCCGTTTTAGTGAGTCAATTGAGATAAATCTTGTCATTTTTGTTCCCATCCATTGACATACAAGCTCCCGCAACACAGCTAAACATCTCCGAGTTGTGCTGTTTTCCACACAAAGAATGCAAGCTTTCTAACAGCATCTGTTACAGTGGAACAAAATTCAGTACCATCTAATTTAAAAAAAAAAAATTAATATAGGGAATTAAGTACAGTCAATGGATCTAACCCCAGATTTTAATACATCATACCACAAAGAGATCTGATTATAGGTTTTACAAGATTATACAGAGCTCCAGTACCCCGTGATTTTTGTTTCATCAGCCATCAAATGATGCTGACATTTATATATATATATATATATATATAGTATATATATATAGTATATATAGAGATATTTATATTTTCCTATTTTAGGGAAATAATTAAAGCCAAAATAATGATATTAAAAGTTGAACTATGGCATGACACAAACAAACAAATATAACAAATTTACCCCAGTTTAATGTTCCCTTAAACAAGTTAGGTAAAAAAAAAGGTCTTGCATAAAACCAGTTAAGCATTTACGGTTTTCCTCCGCGTTAACTCTTTCAGTTATTACAAGTGGCAAAGAACATGCAAATTCAGTTCACGAAATGAATCAAAAGAACCATAGAACGGTGGTCTGCGGAACCGAAACGAACGAACATGAAACGAGACGAAGATAACCAGGCGTCTTCTGAAGCCTGGATCTCTGAGATGTGCCAAGTGGTTGCAGTGGGCTGTTTCCCTTTCTGTGGTTTCCAGAGTACGAGGGGCTCCCGGTTCAATGTCTGTAGGACAAAGTGCATCCTAGGCAGGCGCCCCTGATTTTATAAACTCATGTTAGTTCAATCCCAAACGCCTTGGGATACCACCACCCTATCAACGACTGCTGTCTTTAAGATAAAAATTTCCTAAAAATATATCTTTAGTCCATTGTAAAATAAAAAGGGGACAAACACAAGCAGGAAAATGGCACATTTTGCCATTATGGCAAGCCGTGCATGTGGTGTTGGTTTTAGTGAGTGACTGACAGCTCCATTGTCTTTCAAAAAAAGAAAAGGAAAAAGAGTTTCATAAATATATCTTCCTTGTGTTCACGATGTTTGAAATTAGTCAATGTGCACATTTACTGTCAAATTTCCATTGACATTTTCTTTACAATTTTTCTTTACAGCTTTTATTCACTCTCATTCAGTCTGGCTGAGGAACAAAAAATGGAAATAAAAAAAATAAAAAAAATCTTTTCTGCAAGTCATCTTTTGTACAAAAAAAAAAAAAAAAAAAAAAAGAGTAATTTTTCACTTCTTATTTTAGGAGGCTTCCACGCAGCCGAATGTGAGCTGGGGGTCTATATGAGGGGTTCGGGGGGCAGCGGGTGCTGGATCTGCTGTGGTTGGAGGGGAGGAGGGAGTTGCAGGGCCATCAGAGACTCCAAACCGTGACCGTGTGGAGGAGGAGTCCCCTCAGCGCTGGAGGGCTCTGTGATGTCACCACCATAGAAGAAATACTGGCACTGCTGGATGAAGGACTCGATGACGGACTGGTTGAGTTTGGTGGTGGAAAGCGTATCCTTGTTCTCAAAATCAGGCCTCATGAGCGTAGGCCAGAAACAGATGGAGAGATTGTCGGCCGTCATCAACGTGGTCTTACTTTGCTGACTTACCCTGGTGGAGAAAGGACATTACAAATTACAAAATATATTTTCATAATGTTACAATAAAAATCTGGAAATCAACCTCTTTAAAAATAAAGATCACTGGGATAAATGATTTATTAACAGGACATTAACAAACATTAATAAAGAGGGGGAAGCCGAAGCTTTACCTGTTGAGGTGAGTGATGACGTATTTGAAAACTTCATAGTTCACAGGAGGAAATTTTCTCACGATTTCCTTAAGCACCTGCAGTCTTTCGTAATGATCTACGATTTCTAGAAAAATACACATTTAACAAACTCATTAGAGAAGGGAGGAAATATTGTGGAATGAAATGTCACAGATTTTGAAATAGTTATGACACAAACTCCTTCCTGTTAGGGTTTATTTTGTCATAATAACTAGCTATTTGTACATTAACCCGCTTATTAATTCCTAAATAAATGAACAAATAAAGACCTGATTTAAGTTATGTGAGAAAGAATTTCTGAGACACATAATACTAGCAATATTTGTAAATTACAAGGACGCATTATATAATCGGTACCATATTGATTATTAGATCATTAATTGTACAGAATTTCTCGTTTTTATGTTTATTTATATTTACCTTGTCATCTGATGCCCACTTAAAGTTGATCTTTGTAAACACTAGTAATTTAATAACACTGATAAATGAAATCTATAGTGAACTTTAAAACAAATATTCATTTTTCATACTGTACATTATAATGGTGTGATGCATAACTTCACTTGTAGCATTTAAAATGACTGATTTTAGTGTTTAGTGTTTTATTTTTAAAACACAGACGTGCTTTGTCACCTATAAGTATTGGATTATCGTTATCGGTCAAAATTTTAAGTATCTGTGCATCCTTATATATTATCCCCAATTTTTAACCGCAAATTGACCTATCAGAATCAAGCATTCAGAGAGATGTGCAATCAGTGGACAAAATTATGTTTAACAAGGACTGAACATGGAAAACCAAGAAGCACATAAGAAACCACTGTATTGTGCATATTTTGTATTGTGTATCTTTTGTATTATGTACACTGTATATTAATTGTATTTTGATTATTTTATGTACATGTCATGTCTTGAAAAGTGGGTAACGCTTCCTTTTACAGTACTGTACTTACAGTGTACTTACCTAGAAAGTACTGGCTAATATAAGGTAAGTACATGGGTTAGGGGTAGGTTCAGGGTTAGTACCTAGTTATTACCCAGTAATTGTAATTACTATAATAAGTACATAGTATGTACATGGGTAACAGGACTGTAAAAGGAAGCGTTGCCGAAAAGTGCACGGTCTGTGTCTAGAGTATGTACCAAAGACTTTCACCCACTGCTACACTTCTGTGTGTTGGTGGTGTGACAAAGGAGATTTGATTTGAACCATCATTTTTGAAACATCATCAAAAAGAGATTTCGCGATAAGATGCAATGAGCTGCAATTGCCTGGCCGAGAATATGTGAAGGGAGGGAAAAGATAAAGATGAAATATCAGTAAGTTCGTAGAGAACTGCATCCCAGCTAGGGGTGTGCGATATCACGGTTTTTGATCGTGGACGATTAAAATGTCTCCACGATCTGCTTTTGAAGAAATATCGTAGTATCGTGCATTTTATCAGTTGCAGTTCTGGCGCCGAGCTCCGTCTCAACATACATCAAATGTTAACGCAGAGGAACGGGACACTGCAGTTCACAGAAGTTCATTATTTGCATGTGCTTTAAAGCCTTGCTGGTTAAACATGTAATTCACGTGCTGATGCGCTGTTCTGACGTGTGCTTTCTGAGCGCATACACCCGAAGCACACGGGCACTAAAAGCCTGTCTAACAGCGTCTGTTTACTGGACTACGTTATAAGTTATCTTTCGAGTCTTATTGCGCTAATATTGTCAAATACACACAAGGTTTACATAAACAAAGTTGGTTATGTCTAAAGTGAAAGCAAACAGGAAAAAAATGAGAGAAAATCTGCTTGTCAAATGCGTGTATATTAGACGCGTCGCGTGCAGCTGCGACAGTAGCCAGTTAGTAAACAAGCTGCCTCTTGTCCTTAAAGAGATAGTTCACCCAAAAATAAAAATTCTGTCATTATTTACTCACTCTAATGTTGTTCCAAACCTGTATTAATTTCTTTCTTCTGTTAAAAATTAAAGTTATTTGGAAGAATGTGGCTTACCAAACAGTTGCTGGTCCCCATTGACTTCCATAGTAAGAAAACATATACTATGGAAGTCACTGGAGTACAGCAACTGCTTGGTTAGCCACATTCTTCCAAATAACTTTTATTTTCAACAGAAGAAAGAAACTTACTCGGGTTTAAAACAACTTGAGAGAGTAAATGATGACAATTAAAATGTTTGGGAGAACTATCCCTTTAATGTTAATAAAACAACAAAACACAAAGAGGAAATCACTCACTGCTCTTGACTGAGAACTTTAGTAGTAGCTTTAATAATAATCAATGTATAATTTATACAGTGAAGTCTATGTTGTGTTTTATTTTCGTATTTGTTCATTTAGCCTAATTACTTTCTTCAATGCTACTGTTAAATACCCCTACTGTAGCTGAAAAAATAAAGTACTGTTTATTTCATTTGTATATTAAGTTGTGTATGCTTAATATGTATCTTTGTTCCTAATTCTTAATAACAAAGAAAATAATGATAAAGATATTTATTTTCACCACTTTGCCCTAAATGTCTGCCATTCTTTTTTCTTTTGTTACCTATAAGGTTTTTTTTTTTTTAAATAGGGACATTAGTTTGGCTGTAATGCTCAGTCACTTGCAAAATAGTAAAACCAACATGAAAAAGAATCGTGATAAAATCGTTAATCGTGATTTTCCTGAAAAAAATCGTGATATGATATTTTTGCCATATCGCCCACCCCTAATCCCAGCACTTAACGTCATCTATCTACAGCAGTGTGGATCAGAATTAATGAGGAGTACGTCACAGGGGCCCTGGATTAGATTCAGCACTGAAGCATCAAAAGGAAATGCAGATGCATTTAAATGACTTCTCAGCTACCTTGGGCTGGGATTAGACGGTGTGGTGATGGGATTAATATTGAACGTAGTTGAAAGCAGAAACCGGGCGCACAAAGGATAGAAAAAAAAACTCGACCGTTGAAATGGTGAAATAGCACGAGCAGGTCTCTACTTGTACTCATAGTTGTAGCAGACACACTTCCTGTCTTTCTTGTAGCCGCAACCTGTGCTGATGCGACAGGTGAATGCTGTTTTACTGAACCCAGCCTCGACACACTGCCGCACACCTGCAGCTTGTGAAGACTAATGTATGAATGAGAGGCTGAGGTCAGACACATGATCACAGGTGGAGTCAACTGCAGGTTGACGCTTACACTGGCAATAAAATAAAGTGCTAACCCAGATCTTCAGCTACAATCTTCTCAATCCTTACATGAAAACTTGTCCAATTACTTTTACCTGGACCTGCTAAAACACTTAATGAATAATGAAAATAATCTAATTTAAAAAATGTATTAGTCAGCTAGTCTGTTTCAAACTGTGGGTAAACAGTTGTATTTTGTTTTATAAAATTGTAATCTTTCATATTTCAAGTCTTTTTTTGTCCAAATGATGTATAGCATTTCCAAAATTAGAACATTTTTATTTGTTTTTTTAAATATACACTACTATTCACAACTTTGGGGTCAGTAAGTGCTTTTTTTTTTTTAAAGAGCTTAAGGAAGGCCACATTAAATTGATCATGTGAAAGTCAAGTTATTTATACTATTTAAAATAAATGCTGTTTTTTTTTTTATCTTCATCTTCTCATCAGCCTGTAATGTTTCACAGTTTCCACAACCATATTAACGGTTTTCAACATTGATAAATGCTTCTTGTGCACCAAATCAGCATATTAGAATGATTTCTGAAGACTTTGAGTTATGGCTGCTGAAAATTCAGCTTTGCCATCACAGGAATAATAAAATATTATACCAGACACTGCGTAAAAAGTTGGTGTGAAGATTACAGCAATTATTTTATTAATGTTGGTAAATCACATAGAATTTGTATGAACAGGCCTTTAAACTTATTTTTAAAAAGCCGAACACTACCAATGTACCATGTTTTTATGACCAAATCACAAAAGAAAAACACACTTTATTACTTAAGGCTTAATAAAGCATGACACTGAATGCTACACAACAGTCAGTTTTAATGAACGTTTTGAAACAATATGTAACTAGTAAAATTAAACCGTTTTAAAGCAGTCCGCTACCACAAACCTCAGACAAAAAAGGAAGCGATGGAGAAATGTGTAGATACTTACTGGCTGCTTCCACCAGCTCTGGATGGAGAGAGTACGGTATGAGGGGGTCAGGGAGGTCGGCAAAGAAGGCCTTTAGGGCCCCAGCCACAGCGTTCACGGCTACATCCATCACTATCAGGTCAACGCTGTGGTCTGAGAGAAGAATGAAAATAGTGTGAGCTTGTGGAAGAATCCAACTGCCTTTATCAGTATTGGTAAAGCCACTAAAATAGATTTAACTGGATTGAGCAGAATAGAAGGAAAACTATGGGGGAAAATAAATAGGAAAGAGAGGATAGGGAGGAGAAAGAGAAGCTGTAAGAGCTGGGTTTAAGGTGAAATGACAGCTGTCAGATTAGATCTCTTCGCAAAGGCACTGAATGAACACAAGAAGGGGTAAAAAGCACCCAATTCACTGTATCGTGAGGATGCAGAAGAGAAAAAGAGAGGAAGACTAATGGCTCCGGGCCAGTGGGCAGACTGATGCTTATAGTGGCTCTTTTGGGCAAACGATGGCTCACTGAATGAATAATGTGGTCACTCGGCTGAATATATTCAACCCAGTTCACCAGCCATGACTAGTGTTTGATTTGAAAGATATATGAAAACAACAGTGGATTTAATTTGGCCACAAAATAACATAAACCTATTTCCTGTAATAGCGACCAGTATGATGGTATTTACACGTGATAGCGATAGAGCAACAGCAGTGCAAATATAGTAAATGTGGAAATACATCACAGAACTCGAAATGAGGAAGAACTTAAAGGTTTTGCTAAGCACAGCAAAAAAAATTTGGGGGGCTTTTACCATTTTGATGCCCTTGTTTTTAACTCAAGTGTTACATAACATGCTAATAGCTGCTTGTGCACGGATGCCAGACTTCATTTGTTATGAATAATCTTATCATTTGGTTCCTGTCCATCAAGTTCCAAAAAAAAAAGAGATGGAAGTAAAAGATTGCATTCACTGCATTATCTACAATAGTCACGGTTATTTAATATATAAGCCTTTTTTTTTTTTTTTTTTTTGCAGAATAACTACATTATGATGTAAACCGTTTCTGTGAAATAACATTACTCAGTGCACTGAATACATTTTGGTCATACCACCCACCGCTAGCCTGTGACTGCCTCAATATATCATCAGCGTAGTGACAATTTAATTCTGAGGTTTAAAAAAGAGAATATAACAGATCACTTTAATGTGTCACAAGGAGATTTAAGCTAAAAATGTCCCGCATAAGCGAATAACGAGTGCGAATCACAGCTTGATGGAGGCCTGCAGGCACCAAGCCATTCAGAAGCCACAAATGTCAAGTTTGTTTTTACAGGAATGGTTCATTTACAGTGTGACAGATCATAATTGTGTAATTCAGGACCTGTTTCTCATCATTCATGCTGCTGAATGTTGGTGAGAGTTCACTAGTTTGAAAGTTAGAAGTTAGAACTTATAAGTAAATATTTCAATACAATAAGTCTTGGGTGTAATGCATCACTAAGTAATTAATTACTGTAATTTAATTACTTTTTCCTCGAAAAAGTAAGAGACGACTTCATTTTTCTATCATTTAATTAGTTACTTCTGATGTAATTGTATTACGTAAATGTATAGACTATACAATAATTATAAACCAATAACATAAAAATTTTACGTCTAATGCTAAATGTATGTATTAAATGTAACCTTCTCCCTTTAAATACTTTGGTCAGTTCAAGAAAAAAAGATGTATACTATTATGTATTTATTTGAAAGCAGTTTCATGTCTATCGTTGTATTGTTCAACTGGTCAAGGTTGATTTGCGATTTAAAAAGTAATTATTAATAAGTAACGCAATACTTTTTAGAGAGAGTAATTAGTACAGTAATCAGGTTACACTGTTGAAGATAGAATTAGTAGCTAGAAATTAATTACTTTTTTTTAGATTAACTTACCCAAAATATAATAATAATAATAAAAAATATACATACATATACACACACGCTTATTTTATATATATATATATATATATATATACACACACACATACATACATATACATACATACATACAACTTTTCACGCAACTTATCAATAAACAAAATACATAATTTTATATAAAATTATAATGAATATATTGCAAATTAAAATGAAGTAAACAACTGACTGAAACACGAGATTTCCACTCAGTGTGAAGCGGGCAAGATCAAATATATAAATGAACCCTTCAAAAACTGGAGTTTATCAGGGACACTTATCCAATTTGTGAAATGTCTTCCAACATGTGTCCTAGTCGCATGCCATCAAACACCTGCAATTGAAGCCTAATTTCCCGCAGAGCCCAGTTAAAATCAGTACGTACCCTGGTCGAATTGTTTCTGAATGTTGTCTTGATCCGTCTTGTTTCCACTCACTCGATAAAGGCCCTCTGTGGTGAGACCTGCAAATTAAGAGCAACACTTCATTAAAATCAATCCAGCAAAGGTTGTGCGACAAAACCTCAGTGGAACAAAGCAGTTAGTGTTCTAAAAAACAGCTAAGACTTGAAGCAACCATATAAAAGGATGCAAAAATGAATGACATGGGTGTCAGTTGCACAGTTTCTTATTAAATATGGAGTGAATACAAATGAAGAAACACTGTGGAACAAACAGTAAAGGATGACACTTCACAAGTTAAGGTACAATAAGTCCATGTTTTCAACAGAAAATGGTGCTATGAAACAAAATGCATCTTTACGGTGATCCTTTGTTATTTTATTCCAAGGACAAGTTGATTTCTTAAATTATTTTTATTTATTTTTTACATTTTTGGATGCAAACAATTAATTCAGGTATTTTTATCTATTTATTTATTTCAGAGAATGACAACAATTCAACAAAAGTTTAGTTTAGTTGATTATTTGTGGATATTTTTCAAAATAAATTATTATTTAGATCATCTGCTTTTCATAGCTTGAACTGTAGGAAACTTTATAAATGAACATATAACAAATCATTAAAAACATAATTATAAAATAATTGACAAATAATAAATAAAACTTTAATTATTTTATACATAATAAATCATTTAAAAAAAACAAATCACATAAAAAAATTTTTTTTTAATTAAAGCCCCTTCTACAAGGCCCTGAATTATCATTTCAATCATTGTATTATCAATATATAAGCCCAATACAATATAGGCCTAGTAGTTTTACTTCAAGATTGAGATAACCCTGCTAGCCCGAGCAGCTTCCAGCTAAAGATTTGAATATGACTAGTTGTATTTCTGCTTTTGTTATTCTTAGCACAAGGCTTCTGTATTCATCCGAGTGCTTAATACGTTCTATAGTTATAGTACACTATATGGATATTCTTGTCAGTTACCGGTAAGAAAGTGTCTGCCAAAACTCTACATGTTTGTCTCACATCCGTGGAAATGCTGTCATTACAGAGGTGTAAATCTTCCACAGAAAACCAAATATTACAGAGCAGCACTAGACCCACAGCCTTCCCATATCACAGAACAGCTCTTTTCCAGCAACCTTTGCTCAAATATTTAAAATCATGCACTCAACCCAGTAAACTGGGCCACTCCAGATGGATAAGTGGACATACGAGCGGATCTCACCGAGAGAAAAGTAGGCCAGAAATGCAGATAATGCAGCAGAATTCAACCCACAGTTCCCCGTTCCCTGACCGATAACGCTGCGAGTATCTCTTTATTTTCATTACGTCTAATCTACTGAAGCCCGTTTATTAATCTAAAGATAGCTCTGTGAAGCCATGACCTTGTGCAGCTCTGCAGTGCTTCGGAGCACTGATGCAAAACACAGGGCCCCCACAGTCACTCTCAAAGCCTTGTGGGCTGCTAACTGCTACAAGTCAAAACCACTGTGCATTCTTGAGATGCTCCCACATGTCAGAGCCGGTTCTTCCTCCAGAGCTGTGGGAGGCTACACAGAGGAGCCTGCCTCTTAACTCACCACAGTGTTGTTAAGGAAAAGGGCAGGTGTGTAGTGTCGAATGTGGGTTGTTTTACTGAATCACCCGTTTCCCTCAAACAGGTCAAAAGAATTTAACTTTAGAAAAATCTTGAGACAAGCCTTTTTTTAAATCTCTACTGGACATGGTTGATGGAGTTTAGGGCTGAGCAATCTAGTTGAATAGAATATTTAAAAAGATTTTTGCTGATTCCGAGTCACCTGTGAGTATAAAGGCGTGGTGTGTTTAAGTTTTAATTGTCTTACAAAGAGTTACCACTTGTGTGTGAGTATCATTACATTTTTGGTGAGGTTACCATGCAACGGCGTGGGTTTGGATCCAGCCCTTTTTGTCAGTCCTGTCACATGTGAGAGCGTGAGCTCTGGCCTGGTGGTGTTATGCCCAGCCTGACACTGTGAACAGAGTGTGAGCTCACTTACAAGTCCAGGAACACCGAGACTAATCGCACTGTATAATATCAAAGTCAAAACCTTGAAGGAGTTCGCACATACCGAACTGTCAGCCTGCACGGGAACGCGTCAGCTTACTATTTCAGATAGCGGATAAAGCCCAGTACACACAAACAGACAGTAAATACAGCTTTAGCCACTCAGGTTTCTAAGAATAACTTGACGTATAGTATAAACATGCTTAAAAAGGTCGAAATCACTTAAAATTTTACTCATCTTACAGTGCGGTATAGTCTTGTCGGAAACTCTCAATCACACCAGCTCGGATTACTTGATTTTACTCAGGCAACTGTAAAAGATATAAAATGGCAAGTGGAAATATTGGTTTAATTGAGCCATATATGTTTGAACTAGAAACTGATTCCGAAGAAGAAGAGGACGAGAGAATTATACAGGGTCGTCTACAAGTCAATGTATCATAATGGTACTAATGCATTTTATGTATCTCTCTCTACAATGTCGGACACATAATGGTAATTGACATTATTAGCCTTTGGCTTGACTACATTATTAAACAGCTAATAATATGTCGCTAATGTTATACTAGCATTTCTCAACGGGGGGCCCCCCATGGAGCATTCGGTGAACATTGGGGGAGCGCTGGAAGCAATATCTTTGGAAGGGGGGGTGTTGAGGTGTCCTTGGGGTGAGTTTGTCATATATGCCAAAGATTTATGAGATGAAACTAGTAGTAACTACTTGCAAAAGAAAATGGTCTGCAACATTCTAACACTGTCTGCACCGGCGTGTCCTTGGACACATCAAAGCAAACGCTTCAAATGCATTTGTCCTGTTATCAAAAGCGCAAGCATGCGGATCGAGTGGCGCGCATCCAGTGTAGACAGAATCACTGATAATAAAGGCTTCTATGTGGGTTCTTTTAAATAAAGAAGTGTACTGACCCCAAACATTTGAATGGTAGTGTAAGTATAATAATAGGCCTAATAATCAGTGATTAATTTCAAGACAACTAGACAACATTTTATTTGGCGTTAAGGGACCTAGATAATGGGTAGGGTCCTGTTCGCCATCGCAGAGTCAGACAATCAGCATCCTAATGATAGGAAAAGCCCTGCCCCACACATTGAAGGGATTGTTTACATGATTAATGTGACAGTAGGGAATGGGAGGTTTTTGAGACTATCTTTGGTGCACTGCAGTTTAGTTAGTTAGAAAGTGAGAAAATACTCGGCAATAGTGTTGATTGATAAATCTGCACATGGTTTTTCTTAAAGTTTATTAAAACCAACACAAAGACATAAACATTTAAAAAATAATAATTTTCACTACAGGGGGTCTTCTTATTTTATGTAAAAAAAAGTGCATCACTATCTTGCTCTGACCAAAGTGATTCGAATACACCAGGCGTCTTAAATCAGGACTTCCTAACTTCATCAATAAGAGCTTCCAAGAGGACTTGAACACACCAATAATCACAGCGACAAACAGTTGCTAGTAGGGCTCAATTACAAAAATTCCTCGAGGCAAAAACTCTGCCTCGAAGCCTCGTTAAATTCCTATGACGCGCACTATACGCGCAGGGATCACACCACAGCGCGTGATACATTTTTAATTTAGTTGGCGCGATGGCGGAGATTAAAGATGTCCATAAATGCCAGAGAGAGAATGTCTAAAGTTTGGGATCATTACAAACTTAAAAAGGAAGAGAACAAGGTGCAATGTGTCTACTGCAAAGTAGACCTGGCATACCACAACAGTACGACTTCAATGATTCAGCATCTGAACCGAAAACATCCACTCCATGCTGTTTCACCAAGCGTCGCTGAAACAAGGTAACGTAGCTAAGCTTATACATTGATGTTCACTGATTTTAATCCCATACTGTATTTGTAGCAATGTCGTGATGCGGTTTGACTAGATATGATGTTTAGCTTTGATGTTTTTAAGTAGTAAACAAATTCAAGTTCAATTGCAAGAGAGTATAGCCTAAAAAAACTCACTCACTCACTCACTCACTCACTCACTCACTCACTCACTCACTCACTCACTCACTCACTCACTCACTCACTCACTCACTCACTCACTCACTCACTCACTCACTCACTCACTCACTCACTCACTCACTCACTCACTCACTCACTCACTCACTCACGTCTGATTCTTATTTATAATTGTTTTATTTACATTTTTTATATAAATTGTATACATTGTGTACCTGTTTGGCTTGATATTTTATATTCATTTATTTTTGTTCTCAGGTGGGTAATTTGCAGAAGGTACAATCCTTTTTTTGTAATGTTGTATTAAGACAAAACTAAGGCCAAATGGCCTTTACTATTTAAGTTTGTATTCATAGTTTTACATGTTTTACAGTAAGTTGCCTTAACTGTATTGTAATATAATTGTTGGCACTGGCACTTATAAACACTAAATGGGTAAAAATTCCAATAAATAGGCTTAGTTTTGGAGCCAAATGTTGGAGTTGGAATAAATACCTGTTTTGTTTGAGAAAAGCCAAATGTTTGATCATTTTACAGCCACATCATTTTTGTTATGCATTATTTGTTTTGGTTGTTTAAAAACACAAAACAAAATGTATCTGATTAATCGATCGATTAAGTGCTAGATTAATCGATTACAAAAAGAATCGATAGCTGCAGCCATAGTTGCTAGGCATAAAAAGTCAAATCAGTCAGCATACAGACTCTGTGTAGCGTGTCAGTAATTTCAGACGTGATGATCTTATTTAGTCAAATGCTGTAAGGAAGGTCAATGTCAAAAGTGTGGTGAAAACAGTAACAGGAAGTCGTACTAAGGGAAGTGATCTTAATTTGGATGCACATCTATTGTCCCCTCTAAGCCCTTCCCATCCACCGCTGGACTTTATCTGCACCTCCACATCATCAGATTACCATCACGCTCAACCTCAGAGGCAACAAAAGGCCACCGTGATACAGGAAATCACACGCCTTACCGCAACATAGGAAATGTCAAAATAGAGCTCATATGCAAAAACAGACCATAAATCAAATCAGGCACTCATA